AGAGCTGCCCCAGGGAAAGCTCAAGAGGAAATGTATTGAAATAGATAGTGATAAGGAGCAAGAAATTTTTTGAAACATTGACGACCTTCAAAAAATCCAAAGTCTGACAAGGAGACACGATTAGCAATTGAAATGGCTGGACTGACCAAAAAGAATTCATGAGGAAGAAAACCAAAGTGAATCCATTTTCCAAATCCAGAGATAAAGAAAAAAAAAGAAGAACTTCGATGATTAGGTATAGCCAAATTGTCCAGTCAAAAAATAAGCATTCCTTTGGGAAAAAGCTGCTGCCACTATGAGAAAAGGAAGGGAAGAAGGGAGGGAGGGAAGGAGAGAGGGAAAAGGAGGAAGAAAAGAAGGGAGGGAGGGAGGGAGAAAGAAAAAGAAAAAACAGAGAGAAAAAGTAATATCCAAGCCAGTCTTCCATTCCCAAAAAAAATAAATTTTGTCATTAATCTGAAAATTAGTAAATCAAGAATGTTTACATTAAAAAGTCCAAAAGCACTGTAGCTTGAAAACCACCAAAATGCACACTGCTGAATGACTGGTTTGGTCATTTTTTTTTTTTTTTTTTTTTTTCTTTTTTTTTGAGACGGAGTTTTGTTCTTGTTGCCCAGGCTGGAGTGCAGTGGTGTCTCAGCTCACTGCAACCTCTGCCTCTCAAGTTCAAGCAATTCAACCGATTCTCCTGCCTCAGCCTCCTAAGTAGCTGGGATTATAGGGGCATGCGCTACTAAGCCCCACTATTTTTTCTGTATTTTTAGTAGAAACAGGGTTTCATCATGTTGGCCAGGCTGGCCTTGAACTCCTGACCTCGGTGATCCACTTGCCTCAGCCTCCCAAAGTGCAGAGATTACAGGCATGAGACACCACGCCAGCCCACTTTCTGTTTTTCTTTTTTTTTGAGACGGAGTTTCGCTCTTGTTACCCAGGCTGGAGTGCAATGGCACGATCTCGGCTCACCGCAACCTCCGCCTCCTGGGTTCAGGCAATTCTCCTGCCTCAGCCTCCTGAGTAGCTGGGATTACAGGCACGTGCCACCATGCCCAGCTAATATTTTGTAGTTTTAGTAGAGATGGGGTTTCATCATGTTGACCAGGATGGTCTCGATCTCTTGACCTCGTGATCCACCCGTCTCGGCCTCACAAAGTGCTGGAATTACAGGCGTGAGCCACCGCGCCCGGCCCCTGATTTTTTTTTTTTTTAAGAGACAGAGAGTCATGCTATGTTGCCCAGACTGGTCTCAAACTCCTGGCCTTAAGCAGTCCTCCCACCTCAACCTCCCAAGTAGCCGGGACTATAGGCACAAGTCACCATGGGGCTTGATCCCATTTTTTTTAGAAAAACAACTCTCGGCCAAGTGCAATGGCTCATGCCTATAATCCCAACACTCTGAGAGGCTAAGGCGGGAGGATCGCCTAAGCCTGGGAGGTTGAGGCTGCAGAGCCATGATGGCACCAGTGCACTGCAGCCTGAGCTACAGAGTGAAATCCTAAAAAAACTGCAACACAGCACTACGTAAACTATGTCTGTGGATTCGACCAAGCTTGGATCCAAAAAAAAATTTTTTAATATTGCATCTATATTTGGAATGTGCAAACTTTTTTTCTTGTCTTTATTCCATAAACAATACAGTGTAACAACTATTTACATAGTATTTACACTGCATTAGGTATTATAAGTAAACTAGAAATGATATAAAGTATTTGGGAGGAGATGCACAGGTAATATGCAAATACTATGCCATTTTATATCAGAGATTTGAGCATCTGTGGATCTTGGTATCCATGACAGGTCCTGGAAACAATCCCTACAGACACCAAGGGATGACTGTATATCTCTGGACTGTCTAAACTTTCTACACTGAGCAATAATATAAAGAGAGGCTCTGTAGCATATTGTTAAAAATTTGGGTTCTCAAATCACACTGCATGAATTCAAATCCTAGCTCCACCATCTATCTGCTAGCTGATAAACTTCATTAGTTACTTAATTTTTCTCGTTGCCTCAGTTTCCTCACCTGTATAACAGAAATCATTGTATGTACTCACAGAGCTGCCACAGCAATTAAATGATTTAATACATATAAAGTAGTGGAAAATTGTCTAGTACATAGTTAAGTGCTCAATAAATGTTAACTATCAGCATCTTCATTACCAAGCATTTCATTATTCCTGAATTTTCTTTTTAAATCTTGACTGGTAAGACAAATCAGGAACACCTAGTTCATAAGACCCTTTCTAGAAAGACCGCAAATGCAGAAAATACAAATGCATTCAAAAACCAAATACAATCCGAGTCACAGCACCAAAAAAAAAAAAAAAAAAAAACACAAATACAAATAATGACATACTTTTTTAAAAAGCAGATTACACGGCCAAGCGGTTGCTCACAGCTGTAATCCCAGCACTTTGGGAGGCCAAGGTGGGTGAATCACCTGAGGTCAGGAGTTTGAGACCAGTCTGGACAACATGGTGAAATTCCATCTCTACTAAAAATACAAAAAAAAAAAAAAAAAAAAAGAAGAAGAAGAAAAAAATTAGCCAGGTATGGTGGCGAGTGCCTGTAATCCCAGCTACTCAGGAGGCTGAGTCAGGAGAATCGCTTGAACTCCAGGAGGTGCAGGTTGCAGTAAGCCGAGATCACCCCACTGCACTCCAGCCTGGGCAACAAGAGCGAAACTCTGCCCCCCGCCAAAATAAAAAGAAGCAATTACAAACCAACATTTAACAATGTGAGTTCAGAGTTCATTTAGATAAAAAATAATCACCAACAGGTTCTACAGTCACACAAAAACAATCCCTGAGTGGTGTGCTTGTAGATAATTTTTACTTTCTCCTTTACAATTCAGGGTCTCATTTTAGTTCTCAACATTGACTATGTATCATTTTTAATGAAGCTAGGCAAACTTTTTCTATTAAGGGCCACACTGTAAATAAATATATAGGTATTATAGGCCATATGGGTCTCTGGCACAACTAATCAACTCTGCTGCTGTACCACAAAAGAAACCACAGACAATATCTAAACGACTGCATACGGCTATGTTCTAACAAAAACGATTTTTTTTGAGATGGAGTTTCCCTCTTGTTGCCTAGGCTGGAGGGCAACGGCACAATCTCCCCTCACTGCAACCTCCACCTCCCGAGTTCAAATCATTCTGCCTCAGCCTCCAGGGTAGCTGGGATTACAGGCATGCGCCACCACACCGGGCTAATTTTCGTAGTTTTAATAAAGATGTGCTTTCACTATGCTGGCCAGGCTGTTCTCAAACTCCTGACCTCAAGTTATATGCCCGCCTCAGACTCCCAAAGTGATGGGATTGCCTGCATGTGCCACCGGGCCAGGCCTAATAACATCTTCATTTACAAAAAGAGACAACTGGCAGGACTTGGCCTGCAGGCTGTAAAATTTGTCAATCTGTGAAAAAAAGAATAAAATTATTTTCATTTTGGGAAACGAAATGTGATACTAAAAAAAAAAAAAAAAAGGTGCACCAGCTAAACTGATATTATTGATAGTAAACCCCATTCATTTATAAATTCATACAAGAAGCCTAAGAGATATGGAAAAAAAAACTCTTAAAGGCTCTGGAAATCCTACTTTCATTTCTAGTGCCAAATAAAAAGAGGAAATCTGCTAACCAGACCAAAGTCTAGATAGGAACGTATACTGGTGGGCAGTTACAATCAGAAGTTAAAAGAAATATGCCTCTCACATTTAACTTGCAATTTATTCAAATTTCATAATTCACCAACAAGCAGCTGCCACATGTGTGGAAATCTTTACTGATGAATTTTGGTTACAGATCATCACAATCAGCACGCTGACAACAAATTTATAAGAACGGATGGAAAACATCCAGGAATTACCTAAGAGTTGTTTAAGGAGACACAAGAGTGGCCTTTGATAAGAGGACACTTCAAACATTAGAACTAACAAGATATGTAATCTCCCCGCAAAAAATAAAGCTATGGGTAGAAGAAATTTTTTTCTGAAGGAATTTTTAACATTTCATTTGGAAAAGTTTTGTGATCAAATAATTTTAAATGTTATGACAGATTTATTGGCGTGTAAAGGGATTCCCTTGGTGAGACGAAGGGGTGGTTAAACAGTCTGCTTTTGGAACATAAATGGGGACAATAACCAAGTCTCAGAAACCCAGAGTCAAAAAATTTAAAGACCATCCTATTAAAAAAAAAAAAAAGAAATAAAAAACGTCAACAACCTGCAATGAAGTCACTGTACCCCATAAAATCCCAATTAGGCATTTAAACCTTTCTATCGAAATTCACTTTTGGACCATTTTATGAAGTTGTCAAAATTTCAGAGGCAAACGTTTAAATCAAGGTCAAAAGCCAGGAGAAGAAAATGTATCAGTTTCCAATACAAACTCTCTCCGAGCCCCCTAAAAACTGATTTATAACGCTGTCATCAGTAACTTCAAAAGAAGCGAACGTTGACGGGCCGGGGCTTGGGAGAACAGGACCCAAGGTACCAAGCAGGCCGCCTGACGCGCCACCAGAGAAAGATCAGGGAACTCTCCCCACCCCAGTCACTGAAAGTAGTGCTTAGAGAGCCCATCCCAAGCCTCCACCAAAGAAATTCCTCTAAGAGATAGAAGAGATGGAGACGAAGAGGGGCGGGCAGATCCTCTCCGCGGACAGTGAGCGGGAGCAACTGCACCCGAAGGTGAGCAGAGCTGAGGGCGGCGGGCTCCGACCCATTGCCACTACAGGCGCGACGAGGCGGGCGGTGGGCGCCGGGCTCCTCCGACTGCAGTCGCAAGGCGGGCGGCTCCAGGCCCCCCACGGCCGCCAGTCAGACCACCGCACCCCGCGCCGGGCGGCATGTCAGACTTAGGGATCAAGTTGCGGGCCCGGACGAACGCGCGCTCTCCGGCCCGCGCCGGGGACACTCGCCCCCTCAGCCCTCACCTCCCCCCGACCCCAGGCTCTCCCTCTGCGCCCAAACGGCGCCCACACTCCAGAGACCCTCACCTGGAGCCCGTCGCCTCCTCGCCGCGCGTCTCGGACTTCTCGGGAACCACGGCTGAGGGGAAGGGGGAGGAGGGGGGAACGGAGGAGGGAGGGGGCCCAGCCCGGTATAGGCGCCGCCGCTGCCGCCGCCGCGATGCCGCTTCTGGAATCGCGCTCGCCCCGCCGCGACCGCGACCGCCGCCGCCACCGCCGCCGCGTCTCCCCGCCCCCACGTCGCCGTGACGCGCATCGCACGAGGCGGTTCGAGCCAATAAGACTACACTCCGTGCGCAGCCGCGCTGTCCTAAACCGGAAGCTGCCCCTCTGACCGCTCTAGAACCTGGGTGCATCGTGGGAGCTGTGGTTCGGCCAGGAACTCAGCGAAAACTATACGGGGCGTCGAGGGACAGAGGAAGGTACACTCCTTAGGTGCTCACACAACACCTCGGAGTTTTTGCTCCCACCGAAAAAGGAAGCAATTTAGAGCTGAGGAGGAGAAAGCCGCCCTGGCTGGTGGATGCTTTTCCCGGTCTCTATGGATACTGGCTACACACTTTGGGCGAGAGCCAGAATTTAGTGGATTTAGGCTGGAGCATGTGTCTCTGCCAAGGGTTGATAGGATGCTGAGCGTCGTCTGTGAAGATTTCGGAAATAAATCCGAAAGCATTAGCCAACTTTTGCCCAGAGCAATAATGTTTGCTTTTATTGCCTTATTAAAGATTATAATTTATGCTCTACCACTTCTATTAAAAAAAAAAAACCTCTTAAAATACATATTAATTTAGAGCGATTTTTTAAATGTTGTTAGTTTAATGGTATATCAGAAACTACTTAAGCACTAAATACCTGTGTCCATCTACGCAGAATAAGTAAGTAATTTTCTACAAGTGAGCTTTACATTGAGTTCTAACTTCTTAGAAGCCAAGAACAGATTTGGTTACATACTTACTCTATAAGGAAAGTGAATATAGGTGTTAGTCTGCATAGAAAAAATAGTTCTTTACATTCAATAGGAGGAATTTATCACATTCTTCAGGCGTAAGTGCCGTAACTATCAAAAATTCTGGTTATTGACTAAAGGAAATCCATAGGATTTAGGGACAGCCTGTGCCCACGGCTTATTGTCCTACCCGTTGTACACAGCAAGAGAGATAACAAAGGGTGTAGGAAAACGCTGATAGGTCGCAAGGGAACTGCAGTATTATATGTGAAGACAAAATAATAATAATACAGAAGTCTTCATTATGGAAATGTAAGTTTTTAAAAGTATAGCTACTGAAATCACAAAGAACATAATTAAGGGCCAGGCGCGGTGGCTCACGCCTGTATTCCCAGCACTTTGGGAAGCTGAGGCGGGCAGATCATCTGAGGACAGGCGTTCCAGACCAGCCTGGCCAACATGGTAAAACCCCGTCTCTACTAAAAACACAAAAAATTAAAGGTTGCAGTGAGCCAAGATCGTGCTACTGCACTCCACTGTGGGCGACAGAGAGAGACAGAATGAATGAATAAATAAATAAATAAATAGGCCATAATACAGAACTAAGGCCTACTCATTTAAGCTTGAAAGAAATAAGACTAGTATAAATTAAAATTAGGAAATAAATTTTAAAGGAACTAAATTCCTCCAAGGAGTGGTTTACGTTGAAAATATAAATTTTTTTTAAGTTTACATAATTCATGAAAGACATAATAATAATGACTTTCATGTTCCCGGGTAAAGTTATAAAGCTCTAGGGGTTGAAATCAAGGAAGACAACTACACCTCCTCAGAACATCAGAAACAATACAGGCGTTTCTGGATTGTGAATTTGACCAATTACACCAACTCACATAGAGCAGACATGAGAAGTATAAGATTCTTAGCCTTAATAAAGGGTCCACTAAAGGTGACAGAACTACAACAAAAAAATGATTATTTTTTTAAAGACGGGGTTTCACCATGTTGGTCAGGCTGGTCTTGAACTCCCGACCTCAGGTGATCCACCCGCCTTAGCCTCCAAAGTGCTTGGATTACAGGTGTCAGCCACCACGCCCAGCCAAAACATAATTTTTTAAAAAAGAGATTCTTCGAAAGATCTCCAATCTTTCCTGCATCCCTTTCTCTTAAAGACTCTGCTTTGACAGGCCAAGTGTAGTGGCTCACACCTGTAATCCCAGCACTTTGGGAGGCCAAGGTGAGCGGATCACTTGAGGTCAGGAGTTCAAAACCAGCCTGACCAACATGGAAAAACCCGTAATCCCAGCACTTTGGGAGGCCAAGGCGAGCGGATCACTTGAGGTCAGGAATTCAAAACCAGCCTGACCAACATGGAAAAACCTGTCTCTACTAAAAAATACAAAATTAGCTGGGCGTAGTGGCACATGCCTGTAATCCCAGCTACTCAGGAGGCTGGGGCAGGAGACTTGCTTGAACCCGGGAGGTAGAGGTTGCGGTGAGCTGAGATCATGCCATTGCCCTGCAGCCTGCGCAACAAGAGTGACCTCCCATCTCAAAAAAAAAGAAAAAAAAAGAAGCAGCAGCAGCTACCTCTGGAACAGTTCACCGTGTACTGAACCAGGTGAAAGACAGCCTTATCATTTTCTCTGCAGTTTCACACCTTGTTCTCGGTCCCCTACCTTGATCCCATTCACAGATCACTACTGCCAGTTCCAGATACTCAGATAGTGATTAAACAAACCACATCACTTCCTCAAAATGCCTACACCTCCTTAGCTATTGAGGATGTTGCCACTGTCCCTGAGCTGAGCACCTGAGAAACATTCCCCTGATCCCCCACATCCATAAGGCTGGCTTCACCCTTAACCCTTATCTAAATGTCACTATTAAATATTCCAAAGCAGATTTTTCAGGCCCTCTCCCTGACCATACTTCAGTTACTAATCTTTATATATTTTCTTCTGATTAGCTGTCCAAAAAACAATAAAAATTTAGTAAAATTATCTATCCTGCAGCATCAGCTGCAGATCTTGAGAATCTCTGTTCTCTCCATTCTTAGGGTATCACACTACTCCGCAGGAGGGTAGAGTGCCTTCTCTTCTGCAGCACCAGAAATGATTCCTTTCCACCTCTACCCCACATGCCAGTCACCAGTGACCCAACAGTGCCCTGTGGCTCAACTAGTCTGATGGAGTCATCTCTACAATTATTAGATGTTACTGAAAAGAAAGACGCATCACTAGGTGAGTCACATTCACAATCCAGTGTGACTTCAGTGACACTATAGTATGTTGCTGACATGATGGACAGAGTTAAACTCCATTGTGATATGCAAGGCAATAGCCAATGAGTATTGAATATGTATATATAGGGCATGGTAGTGTGCACCTGTAGTCCCAGCTACTCCAGAAGCCAAGGCTGGAGGGTCACTTGAGCCCAGGAGTTCCAGGCTGCAGTGAGCTATGATGGCACCACTGCACTCCAACCTGGGCAACAGAGTGAGACCCTATCTCTTAAAAAAAAAAAAAAAAAAAGTATATGTATTTAAAGCTTCAAGCAAATGAACATTCAGCTTTCAATTTGTTTTTTTTTTTTTTTTTTTTTTTTTCCCGTAAAAATAGAGACACAGTCTCACTATGTTGCCCAGGCTGGTCTCAAACTCCTGGACTCAAGCAATCCTCCCACCTCCCAAAGTGTTTGGATTATAGGCATGAGCCACTGTACCTAGCCAACTTTAAAATTCTAAAAGGAAAAAATACTCTCAACCCCAGTGTGAATTGAAACTTGAGTTTGCAACTGGTTTTTGTTGCTTCTCTTATAGAGAAAAGATCATTTATTTCATTTATTATTTTTGTTATCAGAACAATTTCTATTTTTAAGAATAGGAAAAGACAAATTACTTTGCCAGCAAAAACCAGAATTAGTAATATCTTTTCAGAGACCTGTGTCTGTGAGTTAAAAAAAAAATTACAAAGAGAAATTACCAGCTTCATTATTACAAAATAATACTAGCCTAAACTCTTCAGGCCCAATATTTATCAACTTTCAAAGTATAAACATTAGAACTGAGGGGGAAATCTGAACAATATAGAAGATACGCTTAAAAAAAGATAAATCTAAAGGGCAAGGAATGTCATCAAATCAGTCCCCCTGATTGTCTCATATAGTATCCATAGAAGTGAAATCCAGCCAGCTATTTAGGATTCAGTGGTGTTAGGTGCTTTGCAAATAGCCTAGCAATATGTTTGATAAAATTAGAGGGAAATACATAAATCTCTGTGTTCCATCTTAATTGCAATTAAACAAATCACTGATAACAAATTGCTATATTGTTTAAAACTACATTAATCTTGGATTGAAAGTTTACAAGCAGTGCATTTTGAAAATTTAGAGAAACATCATAACACACTAAATTCCAATTTGTGCCAAGTTGTAGTCATGTTTAAAACTGAGGGGAAAGAGCAGTATAAACCCCCCAATAATTACATAATTACATTAGCAGCTCCTTAAACACAGGTTAGGTAACATAGCCCTGCAGATTGAACATAAGACAGAATATCATTACTGGCTGTGCTGCTGCCAAGGCATTGTTTAACTATGGCAGTGCATTAGCTCTTGTTAAACTTTGATACCCTTAGCAATAAATGAAGTTGTCCGTGAATACATTTTTAGATGGACAGAAAGGATAAATACAACTTTAGGAACGTACTTGCCGATGGGAAGGGGTGAAGAATAGGTCTAGGAGCTATGGAGATATCATCTTTATCTGTAATACTTCATTTCTTCTGTATGAAGAAAGATGAAGCAAATAACAAAATGTTTAACATTTATTAATCCTAGGTGGTATGTACGTGAATATGTATTAGAGGCTTCTCTGAACTTCTTTAGTAGTTGAAAAAAACAACTTTATTGAAGTATATTTTATATAAAATGCACTCTTTTTTTCAAATGTACAGTTCAAATGAGGTTTGACAAATGTATACTCCCATGGAAGCCTAACCTCAATCAAAATGTAGATTGTTTCCAACACCCCCAAAATTCCCCCATACCTGTTTGGAGTCAGTATTTCCTCTCCCAAGCCTGGCTCCAGGCAACCACTGATACTCTTTCTGCCACTATAGATTGTTTTGGCCTCTTCTAGAGTTTCCCATTAACGGAATCGTGCAATATCTACTCTTGTTCTGTCATCTTTCTCTCAGCATGGGTTTTTTTGAGTTTCATTCATGCTATTGTATACCTCAGTAGTTCATTACTTTCTGTTGCTAGGTGGTATTCTGTTTGTTTATCCATTTACCCATTGATAAATGTTT